CTCACAGAGCTCCTCCTGCCTCTGCCTCCCGAGTGCTGGGATTAAAGGCATGTGCCATCGTGCCTGGCCCTGTATTTATTATTTTTATTTCATGTGTATGCGTATATTGCCTGCACAAAGGTAAGTGCACTTGTGTCGTGCAATGCCTGAGGACATCAGAAGAGGCTGTCGGATCCCCTGGGACTGGAGTTATGGACGGTTGTTAGCTGCCATGTAGGTGCTGGGATTTGAACCTGGGGTTTATTTTTTTTTTTTTTTTTTTTGTCTTTTTGAAGCAGGGTCTCCCTGTAGGCCCAGCTGTCCTGGAACTCACCATGTAGACCAGGCTGACCTTGGAACTCACAGAGATCTGCCTGCCTCTGCCTCGCAAGTGCTGGGACTACAGGCGTGTGCCACCACGCCCAGCTCTGAACCTGGGTCTTCTACAAGAACAATCAGTATTCTTAACCACTGAGCCATCTCTCCAGCCCCTTTTTGTTTTTTTAAGTAGGTTTATTACATATATATGTGTGTCTGTGTGAATTTATGTGTACAATGTGTGTGCAGGTAGGTACCCATGAAGGCCAGAGGGTCTGGGATCCTCTGGAACTGGAGTTTTCGACAGTTGTGAGCCACCTAATGTGAGTGCTGGGAACTCCAGTCCCCAGCAGTAAATGTCTTACGATATTTATTTAAAGGCTTTCCAAGTTTCTTTAGTAGCTACTCCTTCAGAGTTTTACTTAGTATGTTAGTCCCTTTCTATCATGGTAACAAAGCACCTGAGATACTCAACTGGTAAAGAAAAAAGGTTTATTTTGGCTCACAGTTTGAGAGGTTTTAGGTCATGGTTGGTTGGTTCTGCTGCTTTGGGTTTGTAGCACAGCAGCACATCGTAGTAGTTTGTGGCTGAGCAAACCATTCACCTCATCACCAGGAAGCAAAAGACGGAAAGAGGAAACATATCCCACTAATCCTTTCTAGGGTATGCATCCAGGGTATGCATCCACCAAGCCATACCTCTTAAAGGTTCTCTCACCTCCCTCCACCATCCTGAGAAACTAAGCCTTTAACCCATAAGTCTTTGGGGGATTTAAGGTTCCAAGAATGGAGCTGGAGACATGGCTTAGAGGTTGGGAGCATTTGCTGGCTGCTACTAAAGAGGACCTGGGTTCAGTTCACAGCACCTGCATTGTGACTCAAAACTACCTGTAACTCCAGTTCCAGGGGGATCTGAAGCCCTCTTCTGGACTCTGCATGTACCAGGCATGCATGTAGTACATATACAGAGATGCCAGCAAAACAGTCATAACATAAAATAAAAATAAATAAATCTTTTTAAAAAGATTCTAAGCCTAAAGGGTGTGTGTGTGTGTGTGTGTGTGTGTGTGTGTGTGTGTGACAGCATGTGTGTGGAAGTCAGAGGACAACTTATAGGCGTTAATTCTCTACTTCACCTTGGGTTCCTGAGATAGAATCTCAGCTGTAGAGGGATTGCCTAGGAAGTATGAGGTCAAAGCTGATCCTCAATACCACACGAAAAAGAAACTCAAACAATAGCACTAAATGACATATAGTCACTGAATAGATAATTTCTAAATAAGACAAAACACTTTAAGACAAAATAAGACTAAATAAGATAAAACACATTACTTTCTAAACATAGAGTTGAATTACTTACTTTTGGCTTATTATTATAAAAGAATTAAAAAATATTTGGGCCTATTAATATAAAAATTGTACTCTGAGGAAACATTTCTAAGAAATTATAAAATGACAATCTATAGAATATTGGATCTCAGTTACTAACGACTAAACTCTAAAGGACCAAAAGGACTACAGAGTCAGCTGATGGGTAACACCAAGGCTTGTGAGGAGTAAAGAATGTCACTTTCTGATGGCCCAGGAAGTGCAGACTATCTGGGGTCTCAAGAAAGGAATTCACCCAGGTGAATTTTGATGAGCACTTTGCTATTTTTCTAGTCTCCAGAAGTTTTAAAAAAATCTAATCCAGCCGGGCATGGTGGCACACCACTGTAGTCCCAGCACTTGGCAGAGGCAGGTGGATCTCTGTGAGTTCAAGTCCAGCCTGGTCTACATATTGAGTTCCAGGATAGCTGGGGCTACAGGGAGACCCTGCTTCAAAAAGACAAAAAAAAAAAAAAAAATCAAAAATCTAATGCAGGACTGGGGGTGTATTTTAGTGGCAGAGCACATGCTTAGCTGCTCAAGGTTCAATCCCCACTGAGCACATGTGTGCACACACATCTAATCAGAAATCCATTATGAAAGGTTCCAGCAAAGCAGGTTTAAAAGGGGCCTACATAACTAATCATTATTCTTGCTGAATTTATATAAAATGGTCATTCCATATTTAATAAGAATAAACCTAGGCTGGGCATGGTGGTACATGCTTTTAATCCCAGCACCTGGGGAGGCAGAGGCAGGTGGATCTCTCTGAGATCCAGGACAGCCTGGTCTACATAGTGAGTTCCAGGCCAGCTGGGGCTACAGGAGACACTGTCTCAAAAAGACAAAAACAAAAAAACCCCAAACATTAAAAACTAAATTAGTTGTTCCACACCCATTATATCTGGGTGAAAAATTAAAACTCAAGACATTGGCAAGAATAGTTTCATAAACTAAAACCTGATGAATCAGTTCTTGACAATATTTGGATCTGACAAACACCAAGGAGAAATGGCCTAGCCACTAAGAATGGCCACAAAAGAAACCTACTAAACCCAGAAACCACAAGTTTTATTATTTTTTCTGCCCCCAACTGTGATAAAAGAATAATACAAATCATATGCTAGGGTAGCTGGGCACAAACACAGGCAAACTGGATTTAGAGGAGGAAGCCTCCAGGATGGAGGGGTGGGAAGCCGTGATGGAGACACTTCGGCCGTTAGCTTATATGTACATATAAAGGAAAAACTGAATCATGACAGAAATTTCAGTAAAACAACGAAAATGAGAGGAAAATGGAAATAAGATTAAATACTATTAAAAATAACTAAAAAGTAAAGTGGCTTATGGATTTATTTCAAAACTATTCTTCCACAACCTCTTGTGAGCTTGGATGTTATTTTAAAATGTTTAGAATATCTTAAAATTCAAGCTGGTGTCCGTCGTGCACAAAGGGCTCTCCCGCTTTCCAACCCGGGCAGGGCTACGGCGGGCCCTCTCGCTGCGACCCATCACCCATCGCTAGGCCGCCTCTTCGGGACCAGTTCCTCCCCTTCCTTTCCCTTCCCTTCCCCCCAGCAGGACAGCAGGACCCGGGGGAGCACAGCGACTCAAAACGGACCTTTCGCACGGGTTTGGGGGACTCCAGCCCCGCCCTGCGCAAATCTGGCAGTAAAGCGTTGAAGCGCAGAGCCTACCGGGAATGTATCGGCCCTGCCTGAGCAGGGCATGCCGGGAGTTAGAGTCCAGCCCCTCAAGGGCGGTGAGGAACTACAGCCAGGGGCGGGGCCGTCGACTCGTAAGCGCAGGCGCAAAGCTTCTTTCAGGCAGCATGGCTGACCCTGCGCCTCAACCTAAGAGGAAGCGCGAGCAAGAGGCAGAGGAGGCAGAAGCCCTGAGCACCGAGGAAAAGGAAGCAGGTGTTGACAATGGTACCTCGGCCCTTGTCCGCTTACCGTTCTCTGGCTTTAGAGTGCAAAAAGTGCTGAGGGAGTCTGCGCGGGACAAAATCATTTTCCTGCACGGAAAGGTACTATTAAGCGGCCGTGGGTGGGAACGCGGGAGGAGGAAACCAATCACCGCCTCTGAAGCGAATTTTTTCTGTTTCGGGAAATACCAATCACATAATTGGGGAAGGAGGCGTGTACCACGACCCTGCAGGGAGTAGCACTATGACCCGTGGAATTAAAGGACTGAACACATCTAGATGGGCTTTCTGCTTCCCTGGAAATATCTGCCAGGTTAGAAACCGCTTGTTAAATTTCCCGTGCTGTTCGGCATCGCTCATTCAGTGTATAAACTCGCTGGGAGCCCAGTAATGTTTCTAGGTGTCTTGTTTGGGGCCCTCACCCGGGAAATGATGGTCCCAGCTTTACATGGCCTCAGCCCAAGTTGTTAGCCCATTCCGCATGCCATGCACTTTTACTTTTACGCATGACAGGGACTGAGGCCTGTGCTTGGGACCCAGGTCTGGTCTGCTGCGTATCTATGTGGAGGCAGATGTGCTGTTGGCATCAGGAGCTGAAGAGACGGTTGGAGACCCATCTCACAAACTAATGAGGAGGCCTAGCCAAGGGCAGTTAGGGGGATTTCCCTAGATCATGGGAACTTAAACTTATTCCACTCGTGACTCTTCAACTGAGAGATTAAAAAAAAATTTTTTTTTGTGTGTGTATTTCATGCATAAAATCATCTTTGTACCCTTTTCCCCTTTGTCACCCTCCCATAGCTGCCCCCTCCACTGGAGTTCATACATTTGTATTAAGGCCTATTATGTAGAGTTAGTGTACCAAGATGTCCCTCAGTGCAAGTTCATCCACCAGGGTTTAGTCAATCTAGAGTCTCTCCCTTCAAGAAGATCAGCTCTTCCTCACCCAGCAGTAATCAGCTACTAATAATTCTTTGACTAAGATTGGGGCTTGCTGTTCATTTCCACAGTTCTGTACTGGGTTTTTGTCTGCCCAAGTTTGCATAGGTCTTTGCTGACACCATTGCTGTAGGTTTGTATGAGAAGGGTCCCAGGTGGCTGGAGGACTATTTCTGTATGATCATGCACCTCCTCTCTGGCTCTTACAATTTTTTTGTCCCCTCTTCTGAAATGATCCCTGAGCCCTGGGTGGGTGGACCTGTCCAGGGATCCACACTCTGGCGACTCATATTCTCTGCTTTTTGGCCATTTGTGGCCCTTTGTGTTCCTGGCCCTCTTGTATGAGGGAGCTTCATTGATGAGAAGTGAATGATGCATTAGTGTTCTCTTCATCCCTTGTTCTATGTTCCCTGAGTGTTAGGTGTAGAGGTTGCATCCTAGATGTGCCACTTAGGCTTGGGCAATTCCAGAGAATCCCTGTGTGTGACCGGTGGTGTAACTCTAATAATCTCTGTCTGTTGAAAATGAAGCTACTTTGATAGGTGGTTACTGGGATACTTGTCTGTAAATTTAAGGATCCATATTTTGCACATAGTAAGAAATTACATTTGCCTAGGGATATGAGAGCCTTGGGGATTTTCTCTAAGATCTGTGACCTCTCCAGCTATGTGTATTTGGCTAGGTTTACAGTACCAGACATGAGTTTCCTCCCATTGAGTGGTCTTTAAATCCTATTAGGTAGCAGCTGTTGATTAGCCACTGCACCAATATCATTTGCTGTGCTGGTCATTGATGTGGTTTTTAGGCCTTGAAGCTGGGGTTGGTCCATCAACTGATGTTTTCCCTTACCAGCTTGTGTAGTGCTCTCCAAAGCTATAAGAGCTAGCCTTCAGGGGAGATAGCTTCCAGGTCAGTTCCAGCTCCATTGCTCCAAATCCTGTGTCCGAACTATGTCCTATCTTCAGCAGTAGGATCTTACCTTCAAGTTCTGGAAGGCAATTAAGGGCTGCAACAATAGCCAGTGTAATTTTGGGAGTCTCTTGGGGCTACCCTAGCCAACAACTCAAAGGCAGGTTTAACCTGTCCCCTTGAGAGAATTTTACGTGACCCCGTGTATATAGGTATATAAAATAGCTATACAAATCAAGTGTTTAATGATGATTATAAATTAATTTTTAAAAACTCTTTGGTATGTATACTTTTACCACTTATTAAAGTAGAAAGCAAATTTGCATGCTAATGAGATGGATGTGCTTGTTTACTTTGCAGAAAGAATGAAATCCTGGTGGAATATTTGGTATTGCATGGCAGAGCATTTTCAGTATTTTTCAAAGTTAATTGATTTTTTTTTTTTATATTTATTGTGTGTATTGCCTGCATGTATGTGAGTGTACCCGTGTAGTGCAATGCCGCGGAGGTCAGAAGAGGGCTTTGTATTCCCCTGGAACTGGAGTTAAGGACGGTTCGTAGCCGCCATGTGGGTGCTGGGACTCGAACCCAGGTCCTCTGCAAGAGCAGTCAGTGCTCTTAACCGCCGAGCCAACTCTCCAGCCCCCGTTAATTGATTTTTTGATTTTATAGTTGTCAGTGCTGAGACTGCCACTTTGCATAAATAGTAATACAGGTAGCAGAAGTATGTGTAGGGCCATTTCAGAAAGTACTGAAAATTCTGTCTGAATCTAAGCCAAAATTCTTTTAACATTTTTTAAGTGAAAATCAAGTCAGCAACTCAAATAGCATTTTAAAAAAATCAAGCATTCTAACATGATGCAGTCCAAAGACACACTAGTTGGATACTTACATGGGAATGATGGTAGGAAGTCTTTCTTTTCCATAATTAAACCATTCTGCTGAAGAGCAGGAAAGTTTGTATGTGTGGTAAAAACACTTCATAGCACGTGGTAGTCTTGGGCCTGAGTGAAGGTGTTCCAGGAAGCATTTGTTGGTATTGCATGGTGTGATGGCATAACATTGCAAAATGCACATGTGTGTTTGGAACCAAGACTACAGTGCAGTTGTATGATGCAGCACAGATGAACACTGCCAGAAATACTTTGGATTCATTATGCATTAATTTTGAATTAAGTTTTGGTTGTTTTGTGTTCTTCAGAAACCTTTTACTCTTGAAAAATTTTTCCTTACCTCCATTTTCAATTATGTGATTCTATATAGGGTTACAACCCGTAGTTTAAGATGTTGTGCTGGAGAGATGGCTTAGTGGTTAAGAGCACTGGCTACGTTTGCTGAGGACCCAGGTTCAATTCCCAGCACCCACATGGCAGCTAACAACCGTCCTTAACTCCAGTTCCAGGGGACTCCAGCACCCTTTTCTGACCTCCTCTGACATTGCACAACATGGGTGCACTTATACACATGCAGGCAATACACTCATATACATAAAATAAAAATAATAAATAAAATTTTAAGAAAAAAGAAGTTGAACCTGAGACTGGGGAGATGGCTCAGGTGGTAAAGTGCCTGTAGCATAAGCATGAGGAACTGAGTTTGGATTCCCCCATCCACATAAAAAGCTGAGCACAGTGGTGCCACTCTGTAACTCCAGTGTGTGTGGAGGTAGGGGAATAGGCAGATCCCTGGAGCTTATTGGCTGGCCAGTCTAGCCAGATTGATGAGCTCCAGGTTCAGTGAGAGAACCTGTATCAAAATAATAATAATGTTAGAGAATTGTCAGGGAAGACACCCACCATTGATTTCTGGCCTACACAGACTTGTAACACACACACACACACACACACACACACACACACACGAAGCTGTATTCTAGAACTACTAGCCTCAGCTCACATGTTTAGGAAGATCAGGGAACCTAGGCTTCCATGTCCTTCTCTCTCTGTCTCTTGTCTTTCATTATGTCCTGTCTGGTTTTCGGAGCCCCCTTGTCTTCAGTGTACATCACCTGCTAAAGATACTATACTTGAGAGCCTTAGAGCTAGGAGTTAGTAGGGAAACCAGGATTCTAGTTTCAGTTTCAATAGTGACTGTTCACATGACCTTGGACAATGCACTTGATTTCTCTAGTCTAGACTTCAGTTTCTTCATCTTTTATTCTAAAGTGGGGAGAGCTTGGCAGGTCTTGTAAACCTAAATTAGAAGATGGTTGAGAAACTCTTATCTTTTGGATGAAAGGTGTGAGAATTTCCACAAGGATATGGATTAATGTGCCTCTTCTGAGAAGAAACATGAGTGCTAGACCCTCTCAGAAGGAAATACCAGGTACTGTGATTTCAGAGGCTCTGGAATCCTAAGTGCTAGGATTTCTTTCTATTTACTTTGATTGTGTGTATATATGGTATGTGTGTGTGTGCACATGTGGGTGTATACGTATGTGTATGCATATGGGAGCCAGAAGGGAACCTCAGGTGTTGTTCCTTAAGAGCTACCCCTTTGGTTGGTTTTTGAGACAAGCCTTTCACTGGTAAGCAAGCCCAGGGATCCACCTCTCTCTCTCCCCAATGCTGGGGTTAAAAGCAGTGTCGCCACACTTGACTCTTTTTACATGGGTTTTGAGGTTAGAACTCAGGTCCTCATGCTTGCGTGGAAGGTACTTTATCAAGTGAGCTTTCTCCCCAGCCCCACATGTTGGGATTGCAGAGGCCTTGGGAGCTTCTCCTTGTCTCCAGACTTCACCAATGGCCCTGCCCTTGGACCCACTGAAGTCTCTGCTTGCAGGTGAATGAAGACTCTGGAGATACAGGCGGAGAAGATGCTGTTGTGATCCTGGAAAAAACACCATTTCAGGTAGAACAGGTGGCACAGCTCCTGACAGGGAGTCCTGAACTCAAGTTGCAATTCTCTAATGATATCTACAGCACGTATCACCTGTTCCCTCCAAGGCACCTGAGTGGTAAGTGGTGGCTGAGGTGGCTGCATGTGGGGAGATTGGAATGGTAGGAAAAAGAGTATTCCAGATTTGCACATTATAATATGGTAGTTCTAAATGGAAGAGGGAAAGCTTACCTCCCACCCCAATGCTTGTCAGTCTCTGAAGAAAGTCTTGGTTGACCAGTGTGTGCTACTGGTAACTAGTGTATAGAGGACAGAGATGCTATGAAATGTTCTACAATGCGTAGGTCAGGCCACCACAACAGAGAACTGCCAGTAGTGCTGAGGTTGAGAAATCCTTCCTGGTGTATTGTGGGGGAGGAAGTGTGATTCTTGGCATAGAATAGTAAATTCATCTACTAATGAACATAATTGATAATCATCAATACTTTTAAGCCCTTACTATTATACTAGCCAGTGTGCCAAATTTAACACATTTAAGCCACAGACATTTACTCCTCAAAACAACATTATTGTGAGCGGACTTTATAGGTGAGGAGACTGGGATTTTGAAAGGCTAAGTGGGCCGGTGGGACTGCTCAGCAGGTAAAGTCATGTGCCACTAAGCCTGATGACCTGAGTTTGAGCCCTAGGAGACCACATGAGAGGAGAGAACCTATCCCTACAAGTTGTCTTCTGATTTGTACACATGCTATGGCATGTTAACACACACACACACAGACACAAATAAATGTAAAAAGAAAGGCTAAGTAACCACTCCAAAAATCATATGGCAGTAGGTGACAAGAAAACAAAGTCTTTGAGTAAACTTACACCATGTTCTCAAAACTCCCACCTCTGGGCCAGACAGTATGCTGCGTGCTGCACAGATACTCACTTCCTTGAAGGAATCCACTCTTTGGTAGAGGAGACAAGCAGTATGATTGGGCAGGATGGGCCTGAGATGGTTAGAATTCACAGACAACAGAAATTTTTTTTTCATTGAAAATATTTTTTTAATTTATGAAAAAGACAAAGATTCCATGCCCAAAGCAAGACATGACATGTGTTCTAGTTTAATTTCTACTGCTGTAATAAAGATATCTTGACAAAAATCAATTCGGAGGAGAAAGGTTTTATTTTAGCTCCTGATTCCTTTACTGCAAGGGAGTCAAGGCAGCAGGAACTTAGCGTAGTCACACGCACAGTCAAGAGCTGGAAGGAAGGAAAGCATGCACACTCCCTTACTTGCTTGCTGGTGCTAAAATCAACTTCTCAACTTTTGTACAATCTAGAATCCCCTGCCTGGGGAATGGTGCCACCCTCAGTGGACTGTGTCTTCCCAAGTCAATTAAGACAGTTCTCCACAGACATGCTCACAGGCCAGCCCAATGTAGACAATCCCTCATTGAGACTCTTCCCAGGTGATTCTAGGTTCTGTCAAGTTCACAAAGCTAACCATTAAACATGTCAAGATCTCCCTCTGCTTCCCTGGGCCTGCAGGACCCACAGCAGGCCTCTCTCCTACCCGCAGGCCTCTCTCCAGGGTAAGTCCATTGTGCCCTCCGTGCCTTTACTCCCCCAGCATCATTTACCCTCCCATCTCCACCACTGTTCTCTCCTCATTCCTTGTCTTGGGGCCCCAGACACCTGGGGAACCAATACTGCTCCCTGATCCTTTTCATCCAGACAAAGGTAGTGTCTTCTCTGGGACCCAGGAGCATTGCTTCTGGGCCTGGCCCCGCCCTCAAATCCCTCTGCTTCCCTGGGCCCCCACCACCCGCCAGCCTCTTTCTGGGATGCTGGGGCTGACCTTTCCTCTTCCAGATCCTTTGCATCCAGACCAACCCAGCTCCTCAGTGCAGTCCCCAGGAGGCCTTGGGGCCTCTTCCCGCCTCATCTGCCTTTGCATCTCTCTGTGAGGCGACCACCAGCTGCCCTAGACCAGCATCTTTCCTGGGCCAGGCTCCCAGGCCTGAGGCCAAAATCGTTCCTGGAGGGATCCAGACCTTAGGAGAAAGCCTGAAAACATCTGACCCTCACCTGAGTTGGACCTCTGTGGGAATTCCTGAAGACAAAAGCAATCTGGCCACTCCAATATTAAATCAAAAGAGAGAACCGGAAGCTTATACGAACCAGCTTTTCATGCCCAAAAAGTAAACCACAAAGACTCATAAAGTTCACAAAAAGAAGCAGACCTAAACTTGAAGGCCTGTGTCTCACACAAGAATCAGAAAAAGAATCAGAAACTACAAAAGAAATTCACATGTCAAAATCACAGAGAAAAAATAATAACATGAAAAGACAAAATAACATATCACCACCAAATACCAATAGTCCTCTAAAGGAGTACAATGAGAACTCCCTAGAGATAATGCAGGACATGGAACTCAAAAGAACAAGTATAAACATGATAAAAGAATTCAGTGAATTTAAGGAACACACACACAAAAAAGAAATTGAACTGAAGGAAGATAGAGATAAACCGGAATGAATTCAGAAAAGAGAAATATTGAAGAATACTCAGGCTGAAATGAAGAAGGAAGTGAAACACTCAGTAAGCCAATTAGAAACGACAGGAGAAAGCCTCACCAATAGAACGAACGAAATGGAAAACAGTATCAAGACTGGAAAACAAAGTGGACGAACTAGACCACAAAAGCAAAGATTATGAAAAATTTAAGAAATCACAAGAATGGAATATGCAGGAATTGTGTGACACCATAAAAAGACCAAACTTACGAATCATATGCATACAGGAAGGAGAAAAATCCCAAGATAATGGCATGGACCAGATCATAGCTATAGCTTGATTCACCATCCATCTCAACTCATGAGAACTACAACAAATCTTCATGGAAGAAAATTTCCCAAAATTAAAGAAAGACTTGCCCATACAAATACAAGAAGCATATAGAACACCAAACAGACAGGACCAGAAAAGAAACTCTCCACGGCACATCGTAGTAAAAACACTACACGTACAAAACAAAGAGACAATTCTGAAAGCTGCAAAAGAGAAACAACAAGTCACATATAAAGGAAAACCCATTAGGATTACAGCTGACTTTTCAGTGCAAACTATGAAAGCCAGAAGAGCCTGGATCAAAGTATTCCCAGTTTTAAATGACCACAGATTCCAACCCAGATTACTATAGCCAGCCAAAATGTCTATTATAGTCGAAGGGGAAAGAAAAATCTTCCAT